CCATTTAGCAGGGGTCCTATTCCTCCCTGGGCCTTCCTTTTACTCCCTATATATCTAAAAAACAATTTCTTGTTGTCCTTTACTTGGGATGCCATCCTCAGCTCCATGGTAGCTTTGGCCCATCTAACTGCCTCCCTACAAGCACGAGCAGAGGAGGTATATTCGTCTTTGGTGATCTCTCCCCGTTTCCACTTTTTATGTGCTCCCCTTTTGGCCCTTAGGCTGCCCTGGATTTCTGTGGTCAGCCAGGGAAGCCTCCTGGCCCCTTTCCCTCTTTTTCCTCGCACGGGGATTGTCTCGCTTTGTGCCCGAAGGATCGTTTCCTTAAGGCACAGCCACCCTTCCTGGGCTCCCATCACTTCAAAACTCCTACTCTGCAGTGTGTCCTTGACTAATCGCCTGAGTTCATTTAAATCAGCTTTCCTAAAGTCTAGCACTTTCACCCTACTAGTTACCTTACCCACTCAACATCTTATGAAGAATTATATTATTTGGTGATCACTGTCCCCCAGGTGACCACCGATCTGTAGGTCCCCTACCATGTCATCCCCCGTTACCAATACCAGATCCAGTATGGCATTCCCCCTAGTGGGACCGTGTACCTCCTGTGTGAGCATACGGGCTCTTAGATTCCGTGCTGACATGGTGGTCCATGAGCTCCTGCAGATGACATCTTACTTCCCCCATCTCAGGGAGAGGAATGCACCCAGACCTTTTGCAAAAGAGTCGTGGGTTGCTCAGATGAATGTGATACTCCACCCCCTTAGCCTCCCCCACATCCCAGACATGCAGGGACAAAACACGGGCTTACACCCCAAGTTTGTCCCTGAGCTGAGCTTTACACGCTTTGGGCACCAGGGAGTTCCCAAACAAAAACCCTGAAGGTGTAATAGGGTGGGGTTTCCCTCCTGCTCAGGGGTCACCACTTCAGCTTCCTCTATCAAGGCCACCTTCTGTCCCGAGTGGACCACAATATCTTTCAAGGTTGGGTTAACCACTAGCACTGTAACTGGGTCCTGGTTGAGCCCTTTTGCCTCAATCATGCCATCAGGGACCCTCAGCGCACTGGGTCTCTCTCTCCCAGTGGGGGTCTCCACTACCAGCAGCTTATTCTTTTCATCCCTGTCAATCCAATTACACACAGTAGGCAAAGCCCATTGGCCCTGTCCAGGGACTCACTGGGGCTTTGCTCCAGAGATGTGCAGGGTCCCCACAACCTCAGGGTAACCCCACATCTCTCTACACTCCCATTGGTCATACACCTCTGAGCACAAGGCATGCATCATTAACCATTGTTGGTAACCTGGGCAAGCTTGTCTTTTACAGCAGTGAGCGAGAACCTGGAAAAAACTGGAGTTGGTCCCTACAATGAGAGTGGCTCCTTTCATCCACCCCAGATCAGGGTATACTAGAGCAATGGTTGACACTTCTTCCTCCACCCCAGCTATTTCAGCAGGGAATTTTAGCTTCACATTCACATAACCCCTGTAAGGATACTGTTCCTGGCTTAAGCCACAAAGTCCCAGCCCCATAAGGAGAAGCAAAGGCAAGTGTCTCAGATGTTCCTCATAGAAGGATTCAAATAGAATGTAACCTGGGACCCGCTGTCTAGAATGGCCCAGCCCGGGCAACCATTCACAGTCACATGGACCTCTGCACGGGGTCCCACTAGCCCCTTTGGCAGTGAATTTACTGAGGGTAATGTGCGGGAGTCTGTCTGGGTCTGGAGTGGAGTCGACTCCATTGCTCTGCCCCTTCCCCGTTTCCCACTGCCCACTGACCTTTTAACCTTTCAAATACCAATTCAGGGTTCTCAGGCTGGTGCACTCCCGAGCCATGTGCCCTGGTTCCCCACATCTATAGCAGAACCCTGGGGCCCTAGAGTGGGTATGGAGCCGAGGTCCTCCCGAGGCATGAGGATAGGGCAAGGACTGACCCCTGGGGGGGTTCTGGCCACAGCAGCTGCTAGTGCTGGAGCCACAGGCTCCTTCTCCACTCCCAACAAGGTGTCTTCATGGGGAGCCACTGTTGGCACCTGACCCAGCAGTCCTCTCTGGGGGGAAACATCCTCTGGGACCCACATAGTCTCTCTGAGTCTGGATATTTCTTCCTCTTCACAAATCTCTCAGAGGAGGTGACTGAAGTCAGGTGGGCTGCTCCTGCTCCCCGCTAAGTGGAGGTTCCGGAGTAAGTCCGAGCTATACTGTGCCCCAAAATGAATTGCCGGATCCGTATCTGATTGGCACTGGTAACACTAACCGTTCCTTTGGTCACCAAGCATTGTAACACTAGCTCTAAGTGCAGGACATATGCTGAAAGAGTCTCACTTTTGTGCTGGAAAATTCCCAGCAATTTATAGTACACACTCCAACTCCCTGCAGGTTGGCCAAGAGCATCCTGAAGGACCCGCATGCATTGCTGGGTGGTGATAGCAGGGTTCTGGAGTTTGGCAGTCCTCACAACCCCAAAGGCAGGCTCCCTCAGGACTTCCAGCAGATGGCATCGCTTATCCTCATCAGGTATTTGCCAAGTCAGTAAAGTTTCTTGAACATGGGAGAGCCAAGAATTGAATCCTTCCTCCCCTGCAGGGATTGGAAGGGTTCTCGAGAAACTCCGGAGACTCTTATAGGCTGCCTGGTCACTGGAGGAATGCATCACCTCCTGCAGAATCTGCTGGAAAACCCTCACCCATTCCGGAGTAGCCTCAGTACCAGCATGTTGCCCCACTTCCCCCTGCACCCTCCCACCACTCCTGGAGGGTACGGCAGACAGGTCAGCATTGGACATGTCTCTGGGTGGTTCTCTCTCTCTACAGAGGTACACAGTGCTTGAATAATATTCTAGCTCCTGCTACGTGGGGATTCCGGATGAGCCCCCAAAATGTAACCTGGGTGGTACTCCAAGAGGTACCCCCTCTCCAATTGAAGGGATCAAAGCAGGTGCACTAGCACTGTGGGAGGTGTAGGGACTCTCCTCCTCCTATAGAGCAGAGCCAGACCACAAACGGGGACTTAACCATATACCTTTTAATGAGAGAACAATACTGGGGACATAAGCAGTATAAACCCAGGGGTATAGGGGACACTACAATGCAGCAAGGGGCAGGATTCAACAAAGGTTAGACACGTACAATCATACACATATTCATCCAGTTGACAAAAGACAGGGTTAACAAAGTACAAAACACAAACAGCAGAACAAACCATACTGGTTGGTTTAATATAAAAGGCACAAAATACAAAATGTCAAATAAGAAGGAGTATAGGGCCTAGGTACCTGGAGGGGAAGAAAGGAGGAAAACACAATGACCCTTTTCCACTGCAACAAGAATTTCTCCCTGTTACTTCACTCACACCAAATGACCCAAACTAGGACTTGAACTCAGATTTCCCATAGGTAGGCAGAATTTCCAGCAGGCAGCCACCAGAGTTAGCACTGTTCCAAGCTGCAAGGGGTTTTGGCCTTCTTGGAGTCCCGGCCTCATGTTTAGTTTCCTGGCCTCTTGCTGGAGGAGATGGAAGCAGAGCTGGGAACCTTTCAGGTCACTGCTCAGATCCTTGCTGGAGTCAGGGAACCTCTCCTGCTAGCCACAGCCTCTCAGAGGGGAACCTGGAGCCCAGCGGGGAGCCTCTCCTGCTGGCCCCTTGCTGCGCTGCTGAGGATCAAACTGCCACCTGTAGGTCCCAATCCTTCAGGTGCTTCTGGGGCAACTGCTCCCACCCCACTGGCCCAGCTCTTGCCAGCTATTTGAGACTCTTTCCTTGTGGTCCCTTGCTGGTCTCCCCTGAGTCACCCATGCTAGCCATTTTATCCCCCTCCAGGTGAACCAAGGGGCCAATCAGGGGACATGGAGGGTGAGTCTCTGGGGTGAGGAAAGGCAATCCCAAGTCCTCCAATCATCTTTTACCCCTTCAAAACCTCTGGGCCAAATCATTAACAGATTGGTGAGGAAAGGGAATCCCAAGTCCTCCAATCATCTTTTATCCTTTCAAAACCCCTGGGCTAAGTCACTACCACCTAGCCCATCACACCACCTTTGCCTTGATGCATGGAGCCCAGGGGCCCTGCAGTTCAGAATCACCATTCAGGGAACTCCAGGTTTTGCAGTGTTCACTAGGGACACTTGAAGGCTCCGTGATTTCCCTGTTGTGTCAAACTTCCCCTTTTGGAAGATTTCAGCCCCTGTCTGCTGCTAGGGCTGGTCCTGCCTACGCTCTTAATGGCAAGGTGCAGACTCCCTTGACTCCCTGCCCTATGTTCATGGAGGAGGTATGTAAGTGAAGGAGGAGAATGGAGATAGCCAAACAGTTGTCCACTCTCACAATAGCCCACCTAGTGGGTGCCTCAGAAAGGTGGTGGGGAGAGGGTCCAAGACCTGGATTTAGGTTTTTTGTAGTGCTTTTAGGCAAGAGGCCCTGGGATCCAGACCTATTTTACTCACACCAAGGTAGTAGATTTGCTCCCTTTTTGATGGTAGTTTGCAAACACCAAAGGCTTATGGCTGCCATTAGGTTGCCTTTTTTGCGATGATCTCCTCACTTACACTCAAGACAGCTGAAAGCAGGGACCTAATGAGGTCTAAATTCCTAGGTATCCTCTTGCTAAGATCTGCAGACTTCAGCATGGCTTGGGAATCAAATGTTGTGGTGTAGCAGAAAGCTCCCTTTTCCTCTTGCCTGCATTTGCTCTCCCCTCTTTAAATATGTTTTTCCTCTTCTACCTTTTCTTCCTTCTTCTTTCTTTCACTTTAAGATAAGGAATTGTGTTTTAAAATTTGTAAGTGTGCATTTTGTATCTTCCTGTGTATTTTGGTATTTTTATCTATTTGTGTGCCATGGCATTACTTTTGTAGCTTATATTTTATACTCCTCACCTTTCAACTTTCAACTAAATGTGTTTAGTTTCAGAAGTAAGTTATACATTGTAACAATGTTAACAAGGGCAGGCTTCCCTATATCATTCAGGCCCCTGAAAGAGCGAGTGAATCAGTGATTGAATGCGTAACACAGTAGCAGGCAGTAACTAACACCTTGGAAAACTGCAGATCAACCAACGGAAGAAATCAATAGAAGACAATGTAGCAACCGGGAAATCTCTAAATGTCACTGTTCAAGGGCTAGAAGCCCTGGCCTGAGTTAATCAATACCGGGGACCAACTTTTGGGATGAATATCTCCAGATCAACTGCTCCCAGAGCCCTATTCAAAATTCATCAACAGATAAAAGGCAGTGAAAAGTGACCCTCAGTGGAGCCCTCTTGATCTCCAACTCGACCAGACCTGTCCAGCCAGAAGGACCAGCTGGCGACCCCCTTCTGGAGGATATCACCATGCTGAAAGAAGCCTCAATGACAGACTCCAGCGCTTGTAGGATAGGTATACCTGACTCTTGTAGCTTGCTACTGTGTGTGTGTATGTGTGTGCATGTGTGTGTGTGGAGGGGTGGGGACCAGCCCCAAGGTTTATGATTTAACTCATTACAGTGTTTCAGTCCATCTAATAAACCAGAATTTTAAGGATCCCGTGTTGGACATTTGTAGCCAACAATGGGAGCGTTGCTCTCTGTTCCCAAGCAAGATGAGAAGAAGGTTTCCTGGCTGGGGCAGTATTAAAATTGTAATGGCACAAAACAAAACCCTGCACCTCTCTTCAGATACCTGCACAGCATGGTCCAACAGTAGGGACCCTTGCTGATGTATGAAGCACAGAGCTGTGACCTGGTGTCTGTGTGGTGAGAGATGGATTGTGAAAGCATGAGAAGGAAAAGTTCAGAGAGACGAAGGCTTTTTCTAGGACCCTACAACTTGAGAGTGCTGAAGCTGAATGAGAAGTCTCATCAAGTCCATCCCCCCACTTTAAAAGGTGTATATAATAATAAAGAGTAAATAATATATTAACTCTATTGACCATGGGGTCATGATCTGAGTGGAATGGGCCAGGAACACATTTGAATGTGAATTGTATACATGGGACTGACACCACAACGGGCTCCACGTTAACTGTTACCACACAGGAAAGAGACCTGGGAGTGATTGCGGAGAGTTCAATCAGAGCACCAGCCCCATGGCCAGCCACTGTGAAGAAATCAATGGAAAATGTGAGGGCTGATGAGGAAGGGAATGGCCTTACGAGGTCCCTTCCAGGTTTAATGTCTATTCACTTACATCTATGAAAGGTTCTGCTTTCGGTCACGGTATGCCAGTCTGCAGTCTAAAAAGGTTGGCAACCACAGCTCTAGGGGACGTTCTCATCACGGAAATCCTGGAAGAGAATGGTTGAGGGGGCCTGCAAAGGTCACCTCCAGTCCAGCCGCTGCCTGACTCAGCATCAACCCTGTCCAAACCAGCGCAGACACACCCATCATCGCACTTTTTAGCCAAACTGCCACAAGCCTGACACAGGAGCAGACATCGCACCTGGTCCTGCCCCAGGAAAAGCAGCAGGGCCACGGTGCTCATCCTCCTGCTGCTGTGACAGGTTATTAATCCACACCCCAGGAATCCCAGGCACAGGCTGGGATCACACTATAAAGGCAGGCAAAGCTCCCCAGTCTGTACTGGTCTGACCAGGGGGTCAGATCCATCCTGGTGCTCAGGAGGAATCCCTGGGATGGAGCCGAGCTCCCCTGGAGATCCCCATGGGGCTGCAGGGAGTGGGGTCACCAGTCGGGCTTGGGCATTTTTGGGCACAGGGTTGGGGAGTGCAAGTAGAAGGAGAGGAAGAGATGGGGGTCCACCCATCCCCCCCACCCCATGACAGCCCACTCCACACCTGCTCAGGTAAGCAGTCACCCCCACAGCACCTCATCTTGCACAATGGCGGTATAGTACCCTATGCCCTGTTACAGCCCCTATCACACTTGCCCCAGGTAAGTGTGGAACCCCCTGTAGGTGTATCTCATACATACCCAGGTGGAGTTCTGTCCCACAATGATGATGCCACCTGCACAGCAATGAAGTATAGATTCATAGATTCATAGATGTTAGGGTTGGAAGGGACCTCAATAGATCATTGAGTTCGACCCCCTG